GTTGCTGCAACACTTGATTCTCATAATTTTGTAAGTTGATCTGCTGCAATGAGTTCTTAAATGTATAATTTTCAACTTGGCTGCAAGGCCATTGCTGCATCATTTGTCCTACTGATGAATTCTCAAACTGATAATTTTCTACTTGGCTGCAGGGCCATTGCTGCATCATTTGTCCTACTGATGCGTTGTCAAACGGATAATTTCCTACTTGGCTGCAGGGCCATTGCTGCACCATTTGTCCTTCTAATGCATTGTCAAACGGATAATTTCCTACTTGGCTACAGGGCCATTGCTGCACCATTTGTCCTTCTAATGCGTTGTCAAACGGATAATTTCCTACTTGGCTACAGGGCCATTGCTGCATCATTTGTCCTTCTAATGCGTTGTCAAACAGAAAATTTCCTACTTGGCTACTGGGCCATTGCTGCACCATTTGTCCTGCTAATGCATTCTCAAACGGATAATTTCCTACTTGGCTACAGGGCCATTGCTGCACCATTTGTCCTTCTGATGCCTTGTCAAACGGATAATTTCCTACTTGGCTGGAGGGCCATTGCTGCACCATTTGTCCTTCCGATGATAAACTGCAAAGAGTACTAAGCAGCTGGTTTTCATAAAGGTCATTAGTCAATACGGAGCTATTATCATCCTCCATTAGAAATTTCATATAAGAGAAGTCTGATGTCGCTGGCCCTGATGCTCTCTCTATGTTCTGATGATTTCCTACTTGACTGCAGGGAAATTGCTGCACCCCTTGTCCTTCTAATAATAATCCCTGACCAGTACTAAGCAACTCTTTTGCATATAGTAATTCTTCATCAGTCAATGTTGAGATATTGTCCTCCTCCAATAGCAATTTCATCAAAGAGAAATCACGCGGTGCAGACACTGATGTTCTTTGAGTGTTCTGATCATAGTTTTGGCTGAATCTTGATGGGCCAATAATCTTGGATGGATGAACTATTATTCTTGGCTTATGATGTTGCCTTGGCAATACACTCATTTCCTTAATACTTTTACTAAGGAAATAATTAGGATTCACTTGGTTCAAACTGATCATATCTTGCGACTGCAATTTTTGGCCATTGGAATGATCATTGCTTGTTCCCAAATATCTCGCCATTTCTTCTGATCTGGAATTTGCACTTCTCTCACAGATAGTGATACCTTTATTTCCTCTTTGAGCATAAAATTCTGCAAAATCCATAGTGTTGCTGTTCTCTTCGTAAATCTCTTTTCCTTTTCTCTTAGCATTATAGGTGCTCCCAGAAGATCTCATCATGCAACAAACTTTAGTAAAGTGCAAACTTTTGTACTGCTTCTCCCAAGTCCTTGGCAAATTCCAAACTTTTAAAGGTTGTGATCTTACTTTCGAGAAGTTTGTTGGGTTCTACACGTGAAGTTTTTGAACTTTTTAGACATATTTCTTTCGATGAAAAATCCTGCTAAAAATAACAATGTGAGCAGATAATTGTACATCATTCAAAATCACACATCTCATATGTAAGAAGAGAGTTTAGTTCAAGGAGAGGATTTGTGAGACAAATTTAATCATCACTTGTGTGAACCGCTTTTTAAATGAATTTTATGAGATTATTCCCTCAATATTTACTACAAATCTCCTGTTAGATTTCTCATTGAAATAGTGAATTTCTCGTCTCTACCTGTGTATGTAAGTTAATTGATTAAACCACATTAACTTTCTGTTCTACTTGTTGTGGCCTATGAAGAGCCCATGGTGTGGATGGCTTAAATTGCATGTTTGCTCTTAAAATGAACTGGTCTTTAGTTTTTTCCCTTATAATGGGTTGAGCATTTGCAAAACTTGTGAATTATTATGATACGAAAACACAAAGGACAAACTAAAGACCGGGACAAAATAAGAACGGAAGTGCAAATGACCCCTTGCATGTCTTGGCCCATAGTTTGAAGGAATACAACAAAAGGAGAAACTTGTGGGCTGTGACTATTGCTATTTGTAATTATTCAATATGATGTGGATGACATAAAATGAATCTCCAAATAAAAAGTGAGGAGCAAGGTCCATAGACTTGTTTTTGTTAAGCATCATTCTTTATGGAGTGGATGTCATATATAAAATGTTTGCAGTGGGGTTGCTTCTAAATCACTATGTAATCGGTACTTATAAATCACTAGGTAGTCATACTTAATTCGTCCCCTCCATGCCAAAATATCCCATGCCCTTACTTGGTTAGACCAGCCCAATCAACAATTTTCGACACCTTTGAATCTTGGCAATGTGACCTACAACACTTTGTTTGAGGTGGAATAATTGGATACACAAAAAAAAAGTTCCACATTAGAAGTTGATATGAATAGAAATAGCTTTCTTCTATTGTTTAGGGTTCCCTTTGTTGGTGCGACCTTGGACAAGTCAGAAGTGAGACTAATTAGACTCGATTTTGACTCAAGCAAAATGAACCAACTTGGCAGAGTAACAAATGTAGAATTTAGCAATACATTTTCTGAATCAAAAGTGCATCCAACTTGGCAGAGTAACAAATGTAGAATTTAGCTATGGCATTTTCTAAATCAAAGGTGCATCCAACTTGTCAAAGTAACAAATGTAGAATTTAGCTATCACATTTTCTGAATCAAAAGTGCATCCAACTTGGCGGAGTAACAAATGTAGAATTTAGCCATCGCATTTTCTGAATCAAAAGTGCATCCAACTTGACGAAGTAACAAATGTAGAATTTAGCTAATGAATCAAAACTGCATCCAACTAGGCAGAGTAACAAATGTAGAATTTAGCTACTGAATCAAGTGCATCCACCTTGGCGGAGTAACAAATGTAGAATTTAGATATCACATTTTCTAAATCAAAAGTGCAATCACTTTAACTTACCTAAGACCCAATCGTCTCAAGTCTAATTTAGGGGAAAAAATAAATTTCTCCCTTTCATAGAAAACCCTTTTTGCTCAGGTTAATTGATCTTTTTATATTTTATAAAAGCGTGAAAATTGAGGATTCATTTTTTATTGTGAGTTGTGAGAGATCTAAAATGTGAATCACATACAACATTAAACAAGGAATTAAAAGAAAAGATACCTAATTGAGGAGGGAAAGCAACAACGTTAGCAACCACTTCTTCAATTCTTTGTGTACTTCTCTTTCGAACATAAACAATTGGATCCTCTACTTGGTTGTCCTAAAAGTTGTGGACTCTAGAGCTACTTTGTCAAAGTTGAAACTGATTAAAAACTTGATGTTTCTAATGCTAGTTTTGCTTCTTTCACTTTCAATTAACCATACTATGCAAGTCCTTTATATAAATGGAGAAATGTTACTTCTTCCTTAACTTCTATTTTCCACTTTAACAGTGGGAACTCATCTAAATTGACTTATGAACAAATCGGTTACAATTAAATCGCAAACTGACAACAATTCATAAATAAGGTGTTACTAACCAATGTAAAAGGGAGAAATCTAAAGGTTGCGTGTTATAAATTTGCATAAACTTGAATAAACCAATTGAACACAGGTGGATTTAGGTACAGAAAAAGAAAGAAATATCATATTATACATTTGTCGTTTCTCCAACAATATCAAGTGAATTTAGGTAAAGAAAAATAGAAATATCATATTATACATTTGTCAATTCTTCAACAATATCGACAAAGCTTAGACACATTGATAATGTAATAGACTTTCACACTATCACCTTAGTTTATCAATTGTAAAAGATCATTTACCATCTTAGGAGTAACAGAGTTACATGTATTTTCAATTTAATGTAAGTGGAAATAATTTTAACAGCATCCATTCATAGATGCTAAATTCTAGCTTAATCATTAACTAAATTTGTACTAAAGTATTAAATGAAGGTGAGAAAAAACTACTAAATATTTACACCAAGACACATTAGTTCTATCATGCTCAAGTGACTAAATTAATGTGAGATCACATATTGATTAATCATGGTTAAGTGATAAAACAGTATACAAAATATCGTCATGCTCTTAACAAGTTATTATCTCCATTTTGGTAGACGTTACAACAACAAATTTGACTTGCTCAAACAAATCAAATTCAATCAGGGATGCTAAATAAGACCATGCACAATCAAACATATCATTGTCAACTGTCAAGACAACTCAAAGAATCTGTCAATGGTAAAATTATACTTCCTTCTATCATTAAATACCAAACACTGTATGTCTCCCTCCTGTAAGAAGAATAGGGACTCGGATAAGAGGTCATTAGGTTGAGGGGAACGAATAAAACCACAAAAATGGTCAGTTTGGTTGATAGAACATATAGTTTTTCTCCCAAATGAAACAAATAGTTGAGAAGACTCTTTTTTCTTCTTAAAAGTACACTAAATAGTACATGAATTATTTTTTTACTAGTTTAGTAAATTAAAATCACTGGGTATGTTGTTCTTTGATAATTAAAATGCTCAGTTTACCCCACAAAGCAGATGTTGTGACCAATAAACCATTATGCCACAAACAGAAAACTAAAGTGGTAGTGAACTTTAGCCATCAGCATTCTCTGTAAGTTGCCAATGGTTCAAAATGATAACCCAATCCAGAAAAGGGAAATGGAAGAGGAATCCTAAATAAGCAACAAATTGGCTCTCTCTCACCTGGGTTGTTTCCATAGAGTTTAGAGAGAGATTATGGGAATACTCTACCACATTTACAGATGAAGACGGAGAATATGAGCTTGAGTTTCTTGTATTCTTCATTAGGACTATCGGTTGAATGAGGTTACATAGATGTATAATTCTCAACCAATGTGGTACTCTAATAGAACTAAAACTTACTCAAGACATATTTAGGAACTATACAAAAAGTAATATGAATACACTTTCTTATAATTAAAATATTTTAAAACATGTTTGAAATTCCACATTCAAAGAAAAAATTGTTTGACTTCTCAAATTGTAATGTTGTAATACTTGCTCAATAGTATATACAAGCACAAGACACCTTCTTTCTTTCACGCATCATAGTAGGCAGTAAATCACGGAACTTATGCCTATTCCATCACTTCTCAGATGGGCTATACCAAGCATGAGGTGTGAAGGATGGAATATAGAGCAAATGCAGAGTCGTACAACTCAAGGCTGGGCAAGTTCCTAAGGATCCACCCACCCACCGATCATTGACATACATATTAGGCAAGAGTTAGAAATCAATAGACCTCACCATAATATCTTGAGTTGACTGTGGCTGTGTCAGAGATATTTTCTCGGTCAGCTCTTGTTGCTTGAATTAATTAGGTCCTCATTCACCAGCAATATCTGTGGGTTCATCTATATCCATATTTTCTGTTGAAACATTGTCCATATTGTCTTTTTGATCATCTACATATGCTTGGGAGCTAACTACATCCCCCATCAAATTTTTATGCTTCAGATTGCCTGCCAAAATAAAGAAATGGGTTAAGGCAATCAGTACATGTGAGGACGAAATTCAGATATGTTTGGCCTACGAAAATTTAAGCCTGAAGCATCAAGATTTTCTACAACTAGGCAAAGCTTAAGTTATCAATGCAACAAACTGTTAACAAACTTTCACGTGTGTGGGGACACCAGAAAGAATCACCAGAAGCATGAAATTTGATTATTATGCTGTTCTAAATCTGGAAAAGGACCACCACCCTCAGCTTTAAAAAGAATTCTCATAGCATCATAATTTGTTTGACATAGTTCCTATAAATGTAACAGATGTGGCGCATGCTTTCCCAGAATGGATCAAATTGATATCAGATCAATCAAATCCATGCATGTATTGAACATGGAAAATTTTGGCTTTTAAATCTCAGCAAACTTGATTAGTACAACGACTAATATTTTTTTTATAAAGGTAAAGTTGTATTCTTCAGCATTAAGGGTATGTTGGCTACCTCCAAAAAGTTACACGCTATATCTATAATTACATAGATCCTAGGAAGTCTACCAACTGTTCTAATTCTTCTATACCATCTTCTTTACACCAAAAAAACAACATGTTAATGCAATTTCCTTTAACTTTCTGAATAGTGTTAGAATATTCTCATGACACTTGAGCTTTCTTTCTCTCCAAATAGCCCAGACACAAATAGGTAGTATAGACCACCATCTTTTTTGGGTCTTGCTCCCTCCCCCTTCCTCATCCAACAGCTCAAAAGATCAACAGTATGTTCTGGCATCACCTAGGGATCTTGAGAAATGATGAGAATCATGTGCCACACCTGAACAGTAATCCTACAGTGTAGGAATAAGTGGTTGTTAGTTTCTTCCTTCTCATGACAAAAAAAAACATCTGGAGACAATCTGGAAGCCTCTTTTTTTGAGTTTTTCCTGAGTGAGACATGCCCTTCTGGAGACCAACCAGGTGAAGCATTTCGCCTTGGTTAGGGTGTTGCCCTTCCATATTTGATTCCATGGACCAAGAATTCCCCCTGAGTGAGTCATGATCTCTCTCTTATACAGTCTACTCACGGAATCAGAGTCGTGTTTCCATCTTATACCATCTGCTTCTGTAATAAGGCCTGTGAATTCACCAAATCTGAGTAGCAGTTCAGCAATTGTATCCACTTCCCAATCATGTAGATTTCTCCTGAAGGTGAGGTTCCATCCTTGACGGGACCAGATCTCAGCAATTTTAGCATCATGATTGGTACAAAATGTAAAGAGATCTGGGAAGACCGAGTTTAAACACTTGTCCTTCCAAAAAAAATATTTTGTTACCCTTTCCCACTTTGAACACCAAATTCTCCTTCAAACTAGACATAGATTTCTGATTGATCTCCATATTGATACCCCATACGTGCTATCTACTACATTAGACACCCACTCCTCATTCTGCCCATACTTGTAGAGAATTACTCTTCTCCATAATGTCTGATCTTCAACCACAAATCTCCAAAGCCATTTAGAAAGTAAACTTTTGTTTTGGACCCTCAAATTTTTTATACCAAGACCTCCTGTCTTGTTGCTTAGTAAGGTTGTCTGCCATTTAACTAAGTGTATTTTTTTCCCTTCTTTATTCCCCGACCATAGAAAATCACTTCTCAATTTATCTAACCTCTCTTCTATCTTTGTTGGTAAAGGGAAAAGTGACATAACATATGTAGGCAACGCTTCCAGAACCGAATTGATCAGAGTGACTCTTCCTCCCAGAGATTGATAAGTTGTTTTCCAATTAGCCAACCTCTTCTCTATCTTCTCAATGATTCCATTTAAAAACTCAAGCTCCTTGTGATTATTCCCCAAAGGCATTCCCAGGTAAGTAGTTGGTAAATGCTCTATCTTGCATTGCAAGATGCTTGCCAACATCTGTATATTTGCCACTTCCTTGATTTGGAAGATGCTGTTTTTCCTCCCGTTCACAGCCAGCACGGAAATAGCCTAAAAAATCACCAAAACAACTCTAATGTAACTAACTTGTTCTGCCTCTGCATCGGAAAATATTATTGTGTCATCTGCATATAAAAGGTGGCATATTTGCAAATCAACCCCGAACTGGTTCCTATGTTGAAACCCTTTATCTAGTTGTTCTGATTGGCCACTCTAATCATATTGTTAATACCCTCCATAGCTAAGATAAAGAAGAAAGGGGAGAGAAGATCTCCCTATCGTAGCCCTCTCTCTGAAGGAAAAAGACCAGCAGGTTCTCCATTAACAAGTATAGAGAACCTAACAGTTTTGATGCAAAAACCTATCAATTTAAGCCATTTGTCTCCAAACCCGATTTGCTTCAAAATATTAAGTAGAAACTCCCAATTGACATGATCATATGCCTTTTCTATATCAAGCTTGCACATTATTCTTGGGATCTCTACTTTAATCCTTGAGTCCACACACTCACTGGTTTATTAACACAGCATTCATAATGTGCCTACCTTGAATGAACGCCATTTGGTGATTGTTCACTAATTTACTTATCACTTTCTTTAATCTCTCAGCCAATAGCTTACCAAAAACCTTGTACACACCACTAATGAGACTTATGGGTTTGAAATCCCTAAGTTTCATAGCTTCTGACTTCTTTGGGATGAGAGCCTCATAGGTGGCATTGAGGCTCTTCTCTATTTCATGTCTTTCGTGAAATTGTCTCACTACATTCATGAAGTCTGTCTTCAGTATCTCCCAAAAGTTTTGGAAAAAACTCATCGGAAAGCCATCTGGTCCGAGAGGGCTTATCACTGGCATATGATTTTATTCAATTAAAAACGTCATCTTTCTCAAATTGCCTCTGCAACCATTCATTTTCCTCTTGTGTAATGCTTTCTGCTCCCTGTAGAGTAAAATTTGGCCTCCACTATTTCTCTATAAAGATTTTGGTAGTAACTGATTATGGATCTTGTAACCCCTTCCACCATCAACTTGTCAATAGTGTTAAATCTTTATGGGATGTAGCCATCATATGAAAATACTTGATATTTTGTCTCCGTGTTTGAGCCAATGTACTTTAGACCTCTGCCTCCAAGCTATTTCCTCATTTTTTGCAACATCTTCAAACTCCATTGAGAGATGTACTTTCTGAAGTAATTCATCATATGATAGTAGTCTCAACTCATGAGTCTTTTCTAAAATTGACGGCTAATTTAGAATTTCCTCTTTTCTCTGATTCCAATTGTTCCTATTCTCCAGCTTCCATTCTTTTAGCTTCCCCTTTAGCATCCTCAACTTAAGGCTACGACATAAGGGCTCGTACCAATGATATTGAAAGATACCCACCATTCTTTAACCTTGTCTAAGAAACCCTCTACCCTTAACCACAATTGTTCAAACTTGAAGACTTCTTCAAATTTAAATCTCCGCATTCAAGCATAATTGGATTGTGGTCAGAGCCTATTCTGGGAAGCATGTTCTGTTTAATCCATGTAAAGGTCTCATCCCACTAGGAAGAGAATAAAAACCTATCGATTATGGAGGCAGACATGTGGTTGTCCCCCCCCCCCCCCCTCTCCATGTGAAAGACCCCTCAAATAAAGAAGGATCGATTGAACTCCATCTCATTGTCCGTTCAGAAAATTCATTCATTGGTATAGTAATTTTGTGCCCTTCTGATCTTTTGTTTGGATATTCTGTGGCATTAAAAGCTCCACAAGCTACCCAAGGCCCATTACACAATTCTTTGATGTTGATGAATTCTTGCCAAAGTCCTCTTCTAATAATTATTTGGATCAGAGGAAGCATACATAACTAAAAGAAACCATGTGAATGTCTGATTAATGCCTTCAAACTTGCAGGTTACCATTTGGTTTGCTGTTATCATCAGCTCTCCTTTCCACACCCTCTTATCCCACATTACTCCGATACTGTAACATCTCGCTAATTGAAAGAACTAGAAAGAGTTAGAATTGGAAATAGTCATTTTAGGAAAGAAGGAAAAATCTAGAAATTTGTTAAGCTATGTTAAGTTTGGGTTTTTGGTCAACATCAAACGACCATAACTCCTAGCTCAAGATGAGTTAGGTGTGCTTCCAGATGTCGTAGGAAAAATCTTGGAATTATCTTTCCAACGCCGCCGAGTTTGCGCGATTCCAAGTTCGTATAAGTGAGATATGCCCATTGGAAGTTGGGTTGTTCAAATAAGGAAAGTTAAGAGTTAAGTCAGAGAAGTTAAGAGTCAAGTCAAGAGGTTAAGAGTTAAGTCAAGAGAAGTTCATAAAGTTTTTCACAAACATTTTAACTTTGTTTTAAGACTTAAGCTTTGAGTTGATTAAAGAGCAAGAGTAAAGTTCAATTCTTCAAAGATTATACGGGGCACTAAGTATTCCCAAAGAGTTAAAAATGTTTTCACATTTGAGCAAGAAAGGAAACACTAATTTCTAAAAAAAGCTTTTGAGTAATTATCTCAAACCAAAGAAAAAGTTTTTTTTTTAAAACATATGAGCTGAGTATATTTTGGGAGTAGTATTGAGCACCGATATGGGGACGCGAGTTCATAATAACTCAAGTCTCCATAAACCATATAGCCATCACGGGTAGAAAAGGATCATACTTTCTAGATGATTCCTTAGTGCTCTTTAGCATAGACTAGTGGATTCACTTAGTTACGGCGTTATATATGACGGCAAAGTATAGGATAGTTCTGGCAACGTGGGTAAGACGTTGAATCACAACTTAGGCACATAGTGGTGGTTGTCGGTTAGAGAATCTCCCACAGTATTATATTACTTTATTATATAAGTAAGTTGAGTTGTTATTGCATTTTTTTAACAAACTGAGTTGCTTTCTATTATTTTAAAAGATTTCCATATATTGCATGTGTTGTTGCTTTTACTGAGTTAAGTTATTCATGAGTTGAGTAAAGCCAAGGTTTTCAAGCTTATGTTATGTTTAGTATTCCCCTCACATACTCGTACATTCAATGTACTGATGTCATTTGGCCTGCATCTTTTAAAGATGCAGACACAGGTAACTCATCCAGCGCCTCGTTCATCCAGTTGAGCACTCAGAGTCAATTGGTGAGCCTCTTTGCTATCCAGAGGACTCCTCTTTATCATTTGTTTTAGTATTTAGTTTATTAGGATGTCGTGGGTCTTGTCCCGACATCCCTCTTTGTTTTAGAGGCTTCATAGACAGTCAGACAGTTAGTTATGAGTCATTTAACTTTGTATTTCAAATGTTTTGCTATGAGACTTGAATAGCTTTATTGGCTAGTTTGAAGATTTCCTTTAAAGACATTTTAAGTATTTCATAAGTTCCTTATTGAGGTATTTCTAATGTTTAAGTCTTCCGCTGAGTAAGTAAGCCAGGCCAAGGGTTCGCTTGGGACTAGCAATGGTTCTCGAGTGCAAGTCTCGCCCAGGGTGTAGGCTCGAGGAGTGACAGATACCACTGCTTCTGCCTATAGCATCCACATGAAATTCCCTTATCCATTTATTTTGCCATAATTGTTTGAATACATTCACCTCTGGTCCTCCCAATTTTGTCTCAACCAGAACGTAAATAACAGCCCCCCAATGTTGAAATAATCTCCTGACTATCCCCTTTTATCTTCTCCATTTACCCCCATTACATTCCAAGAAAGGATTTTGACTGTCATTGGAGATTTGTGTTTGTTATTCTCCTCCTGTTTCTTGACTCCACTTCTTTAAACTTATCATGGAATTCCAAATTTCTTATCTCCTTTGGAGTTGTGTTCTTTGCTTTGATTGGTGTTGTATCCACCTTCTTCTGCCTCAATTCCCCCCTCTTTTGATCAATTCTTAGAAATTGATCAAAAGCCACCTTATCACATCCTTCAAAAGCAACCCCAAAGAGTTGGTTGAGTTTAAGTACATTGGATTATACCCAAAGTGAAGCTTTGTCTTCAATTTCTTGTTCTGAGAGACTATCATTAATTTGAAGAGGAAGAGTATCTTCAAATAATGTTAATTTGCACAGAAGAGCAACTACCCTGGTGAAGTTCTCTCTTATCAATTTCTACTAAATTAATTCCTGCCTCCTCGGTATCATAAATAACCGTAGGCATGTTGATGAAATGGGAATTACTTGAAGCATGGTATTGAGGGGTAGAGTGGTCATTGTCCTAGCTAGATATTTTGATAAATTTTGTTAAAAGTCGGTTAGACACGGGTAGTTAGTTACCAGCTGTGTATAAGCATATATACTCTGTAGTGTGTAATTTTGTCTAATAATTCATTCTCTCAGTAATAAACATCTCAGTTTCCTCTCACTGCTTAGCTCTCTCAAATGGCTAACAATGGTGTTTGAGAATTGTTTACATACAGAATTTATCAATGTTGTTATCTTCATCCCCTAATACTTCTGACCCATCAAAATTTATCACATCATCCTTAGCAAAAGATGCTTCAGTTCTCACTCCAATCCCCATCTCCATCTCTGATATACTCGAGCTCAAAAAGAAAATATTCTCTGTCGGAAAGAGGTTGTCAACAAAAGGTTCCTTTTCCAACAGAATGGGGTCTTTCATAGGCAATTGGGCTTCCTATGACCGATTACCTTTTATTTTGAATTGGTCCAACACTTCTAATACAATTCCTGGGCCCAAACTTTGAATTATTTTCCTCACATGTTCTTCAGGCAGACCCATGCGTTCCTCTTCCCCATTTTTATTACAACCTAACAGCGAATCATTACCCAATATGTTGGGCTCCACCTCCTTTGGGATAAAAGTCTGCAAAGAGTGTTGCTGTGAGAGCTCCCTTCCAGATACATGTTGTGTTGTACCTTTTGTTTGATCAATCTGCATTAGATCTGACTTCCGTCTAAATCTCGCCGAAGCTTCGCACCATATCGGCAAAGAAAAATTGAATTCTCTATCACACACTTCTACGTATGCCGGAATTCCTTCAGAGGACCTTTGACTCGAATACGTCCCCATCTCAAGTGATTCTTAAGTTGGGTTTCTTCTTCTGCTTCAATCCATCCACCGCACTGGTCATCCATCTCCTTCATCACTTTATCAGTCCATATATGTAATGGTAGTCCCACAATTCAAACCCAAAACCAATCAAATTGTTTTTGGGATGGAATAGCTCCCATCGTCAGAGACCACCACTCCAGTTCCAGTAGATGGTTGCTCCTACTCCAACTCCCTGCTAACACATTTTCAGCATCCCTTCTCGACTGAAATTCAAAAAGGAATTGGATCCCATTCAAATCAAATACTTGTATGTTGTGGATGCCTCTCCATGTGTTCTGCGCCCATTTCCTAACATCGTTACGAGAAGGTATCTCATCGCAATTTGGGAAGCCGCCACCCAGACTTCTCCTCAGAGGATCCTTATCTCCATTGTGCTACTCTCTGGAACTGATTGAAATTCATTAGGGGGCCATCTGTTTTTTTGAAAAGCTTCCTTATAACTTCTTTTTTCTATTTGCCCATTACTGATTATCTCCCCTGCATTTAAAGTCTCTCTGTAAAATTTCAGCCTTATTAATAAAGACCTCAATTTTCTTAGAGAGATCAAACCAGACAGCATTGAATGTGATTTCAGGGAGAATAATAATAGATCTCAGCTCTCCTTTAACCATAATAACAGACAGAAAATCTACCATATTGATTGTACTTCAAAGAGCAATAAATAAGGGTAGTTAAATCACTGCATCTCCAAGTTTTGAAAGATTTTCCTTTGATTTCTGAAGCTTCATTAAATCTTCTGCAGAGCCACTGTAGAGCTACTCTACTCAGCTTCATTCTTCTCATATATAACCTAGCACTCTCCACCCATTCAAACCTAGAATCTGAGGCTAGTTTGGTATCAGTTAAGGCATAAGACTTACCCCCTAATCTGAAAAAGATTCTGCTCTCCATCTTTCTCCTAAATAATTGATGAAAAGAAAGGTAAGTGCTTTAACCGAAGACGCAATGAGAGGTGAAAGCCCTTGTGGCCTGAAACGATCCAAGAAAAAACTGAATATCTGAATAATGTCGATTCACGTGCCGGCGCGTGACTTTGATTTCTGGGAGGTAGTGGTGGCGCGTGCGAGCACGTGGGGGGGGGGGGGGGGGGTTCTGGGGTTGGGTCACGGGAGTCTGGTAGAGGCTTTGGTGGAAGGAGATTATTGTCAGAAAAAGAAGAGGAACAGAGGATTCCGGTGATCAGAAGGACTAACGGTGGGGTTATGGGTTGGAAGTCGATTTTAAAATTACATCGGGATTTGTGTCTAGGAGGATTTCGAAAAGGCGCATGTCTCAAAGGCAAGTATCATTCACATTAAACGGTTGAATGTTGACAAAAAACAGCACAACGAATAATATTATAAACCACCATTTGATCAACTATCTGATTGAAGTAATATTAGGTAAATGCAATGTCAAAATACCCATCCAAAAAGTGCATCCACTTGACGTTGAGTGAAGAAGTTCCTTAACACGAAATAAGAACCGCTCCATAGATCTCTTGGTGATGGGGATTTTGCTAGTTATTGCTGTTTGTTTCATGCCCTGTCAAAAAGAAAAGAAAATACAAATGAAAGTGCAGAAAGATGTCTAGGACACAACGAATGAACATAACCTGACCAAAACATATGGGATTTCTGTACCTTTGCGTCTGAACAAAGCGTCTGGATAGTTCTCGTTGCTGTCTGAAGCTCTCTAACCTGGTAATAAATATAGAGAGGCTCCTTAATCTAAAGTCAGTTTTCGCATCTACTATAGTTCAAGCCAGTAATTCACTCATCTTACCATCTGAATTATTTGCTCACGGTGCAATTCAAATTGCCCCTGTAAGAAGCCAAAACCTGAAGATATTTGTTAATTCCAATACATCATATTTTGTAACAATCACAATGATGAGGCCAAAGACTACACCCTCCCTTAACTGAAAAATAAGTCCTTGTACCCTGACCCGTGATAGAGGTAAGTACCTTTGAGGAAAGAGTCAACAAACTTCCCACCAAACTTGACAGCAATTGCACGGACGTTGACCTATTAGTCAACACCAATTATGTCAGTAGCATAAAGCTAAGAGGCAATCAAATAAGAAATTTAAGCAAGATAACCAACCACCTTATCATGGGTCTTGCACAAATTGACTAAAGATACAACCACATTAACAGATTGTTGTAGTTTCTTCAGAAGGCATTTGACATCTTCCACTTCACCACCACCCCTGGCTTTCTCCAGGAGTGAAATTTCCTTTACCTAAGCAAGTAAAGAAAAACATAACAATTATTTTCATCATGGAATTTCCATCTGTTGATGTGTAGCTTCTAAATAATATATGCAATATTTTTGGTACCAACCAAGCGGTTAATCATGGCAAGGTTCTCTTCATGCTGCAGCATCAAGTCATCATCAGTCAACGTCTTCTTAAGAACACATAAATTCTCTGGGAAAGATAATGCACACAGAATTAAGCGCATAGTGGAAATCTTACCAATACCCGGTACCAAATGTAAAATGTTGCAGGACAGAGAGTAGGAAAACAACAGCCATCCTCCAATGCAGATCTGTGTGATGAAACCTGGCATATAAACAGAATAGGATTAAGTTAGGGTTTTCCTAGGAGTGTATCACGGTGACAGACCAGTAAGCATATTATATGCTAACATTATCTAGAGACTGAAATCCCATGACTAATAAATTATAGAACATTTTTAAGACATTGCATTTCAATTCTTAAAATATTAAGAATATGTAAACATTCACTTAAATCTTGCCACTTAATATGCAAATATTGCTGCTCTCATAATTTTTCCAATATATTTGAACCAGTCAAAATGTAAATGCACTTGGCTAGGTGCAATCAAACAAGTATTGCATAGTCATGTTGTAAGCTTATTTAAAGTGCTAAAGGAGGTTATAAAGAATCCTTAAGGTCTCCATTTACACCTTTGAACTAGAAGCATGTTGCATAACAGATAGAAGCTCAGCAGAAGGTTTTTGATGCAATGTGTTAAAAACATAGCAAAGTTTTAGCAGAATTGTAACAGATAAGCTCACAGCAGAAAGTTTTGATGCAATATGTTACATATCTAGGAAAGTTTTTCACTTCGCTTCAAGCACAACAAATGATCTGTCAAAGAAACAATTATGTAAAACCACCTAATATATGCACCTGGGGCAAAACAGAGCAGGCAAGCTCACTTAGGGAATCGGAAGTGGACTGGCAATTTTCCAAGTAAATTCGTAAAAGCTTTTGAATTACCTCTGCCTGCAATTAAAATAATCAATCAAACTAGCAACCCTAAAATGAAGAAAACATATTGAAGGGTCAGCAGTCATCCAAGAAACACGATGGTGATGTTTGCTGTAGCCACTAGATTAACATACTTTGACTTTCTGACCATCTTCAGTGTCATTAACACCATCACACTTTTGCATCAAGAGTTTGTAAGCAGAAGTCCCCAGCTTCTTGGACAGAAAAGAAAGTAGCTCTTTTGAAAAACCTGTACGAATATCTTTTCCAATATCGTTGAGATCGTTATCTAGGATAGCCCGGAAAGACACAAGTACTGATTCCAAGCTTAACAATACTTCGGAAGCCAAAGCAAATGAAACAGCACATGCTGCAAGGAAAAAAGTCAAGTGGTAGGGGCTAACATATTCTTCAATGGTAAATGAGAGAAATATGTGATCAAGAAGAAAAAATTCATAAGTAGCATACCCGCATCAAATATATTCCCAACAAATAAATATGCACCAGCATATAAATAACCTATATCTCCTGGTGATGGATTCAATTGCATGCCTTCGAAAAAGCAGTCTAAAATGCTGATTGGCTGTAATGCCTCCAGAAGATCAGAAAGTACTGACCTGTCTCTCTGAACATTAGGTATGTTTAACATCTGCAATTGAGGTAAAAGGAAAAGAAAACAATGAGAAACAAATTTGATAAGAAATTCTAGGAAGGAAAAAAGAAAGGTGCTTCCCCACCCCTCCATTTCCTTAGGTTCTGCTTTTTAGACCGAAATGTTTTACCTTGCCAAAGCATTGAAGTGTCTCTTTTATGACAGATCTAGAACCTGATGGTCTAAAGCTTGTAATGTTGGGTATATCAGGATTTCCAGCAAAGGCAGAATGAGTTCTCCAATGATCTGGGCATGTGTCTGTATCTGCATAAAATCCCTGTAAGATATTCTAAAATTTGGCAATATTTCTTCCAAGGCATCTGACAAAGTCAGCTGTAATACCTTTTCTAACACCAGATACTGCAGAATCCAAATGTCTTCTAAGGGAAGGAAATAGTGGCTGAATTTTGCTTATGAACTCTATTACTTTCATCTCACCAAAAGCAGGAGGAACACTCATGCGTCTAACCAATATATGCCTTCGTGGACTGCAGTAGTCCAGCTTTTTGTTTAGATCCCTCAGAAAATATAGACAAAGGGGCAACTGGTACCACCAGGGAGTTAGATATTCTCAAAGATTGAAGTCTAAAGACAAGTACATATAAATTTACGCACCAATTTCCAAATATTATAAATGTAAACAATTAAAGAGGAAAAAAGAACTGAACACGGGTGTGAGAGATTCATCTATACACTAGTGAAGAGGGCATGACTAAAGGAGCTCACTGAATACCTCATAAGCTGGATCTGCACAGCAGGAATCCTGAGTCTGCATTGAAAAACCATACTGAAACAAGTTAGAAACGCTGTACGGGCCCAACAATGATTTCTCACAGCTATTATGTGAATTTACACATTGCAACGATATCAAGTGTCAACTTAAAATCAGAACTCTCTCTCAGTTCAGAAAAATCTCCTCTTTTTGTACTACTCTTAATTGAAGGAAATAGAATTGCATAAATTGCCAGAATAGAACGAGATGTACCTCAAAACTAATGACCGAAGAAAGATATGTCACTTTTCCTTTACAAAAATTATAACAAGGGAAGGTAAAAACAATACCAGAGGAAGATGCAAGTTAGCAAAGAAACATATCAACTGATCACAAGAGTAAGGGCTGAGTTAGCAATCAATCAACTCATCATCAGAACAAAAGCCTACATGGATTTGGTTTGAAAACTGATTCTGATTATTTAGATGTGTTCATTCAACAATAAGTACAATATTAACTACTTTCATCAGAGTAATATTGTGGCTATTAGTCCATAAGGTGGCATTCCCGCGTGACTACCAAATATTAAGCAATTAATGAATGTGATAAACATTGATGAAATCAGGTAAATAATTCAAATCACACAATCCCCAAGTCTTTAATCAAATAACTATTCTTTTCTTTTGGAAAGGTATCTTAGAGTTTAATACTCTATCATGCTACTAAAAGCATTTTGTGCTCAAGAGAAAATTGTGAAATGGAAAATATCACGAAAATGCCTAAGAGGTGTATTCATGGTAATGAACTCTCAATTATCTTCTTAACTATCTAGATGTTTGACTAAACCTTGATTGAAGAAGAAAGATACAGTTCAATAATCAAACAAAGGATAAGTATCAAGATGACACCCCCAGAAAAGTAACACCTCAGTGGCTATTTGAAGATTTTGTGTTTCTTAAATTTTAAATTATGCAGATTTAGATTTTGTGTTTTCTGTTGGCTATTTGAAGCCCTCGTATGATTAATAAATTTATTGAGAGACATTTTCAACCCTTTTTTGCTACCCCATCTTTTAAAAAAACTAACAGAAGATCTGAGATGCAAGAAATACCCAGCCCACAATATCCAAATAGAATGGCCAGGAAGAAATGGAAAATCAAATGAAGGTTGTGCACTGGAGGAAAAAGGATTTGAAAGAGTGACACTAGCGAATAAACCCATATACTTCAGGCACTGACTGGCTCAAATAATAACCCATTGAGACAGTGAAAAGAAAGAACTCATTAAAACACTAACACTACCTTCTGAAAAGCTAAGATAGCAAAGCAATCCAGCAAAAGAGGCCTGAATTTGTGTCTTTGTGCTTCGACATGCTCCACAGCAGTAGAAACATCTACATTCGCTGACATATTAATATTACGTGGCTGATTCACTGATGGCTCGGGTGCACTACCTTTAGAACACGTTCCAGAAGGACCGGTGCTTGGTTCCTGGGTTGGAACTGCACCTGCTTTCCTCAAAACATCCATGATGGTTGGCTGCCTAAGTTTTCCATCAGTAAGTGATGCTTGGCTGTTCTTCTTCTCTTTCTTCTTCTTTTGTGATAGACCAACGTTACCATTACCACTCTCATTCTTCATCTCCTGATCTCTATTATGATCAAGTTGGTTCGGCGACAAGGACTCCGAATGAGGTTGGAGTTCAGGTAAGGAAAAAGAGCATTGTTTGAGGGAAATGTTTAGCAAGCTCTCCAGAAATCTGAATTGGTAAACTCTTGTTAGCTTTATGAAGTTCTGTTGTCACAGCATGATTCTTTATTGAGAAAAAAACTGCCTTGTGGGTCAAAGTTTTCATACAGTTACTGATGCATATGCATATTGCAGAGTAAAGTTGCTAGAGAGAAGGAACACACATTAAGGAAGTCTACTATAGCAAGATAACACATTCATCCAGGTCTGACATTTGTAAAATCAAAGCATAGGATGAATACAGAATGAAAGTTAATCATTTGAAAAATTTATAATTATGTATTTATATATCCTTGTAACCTGGAGGAATAAAGATTTTTATACAACTGCTTCAAATCACTTTGCAACTAGTGAAGACCCATATAAGTTGAGCAAATACTACCATGTACAGAGTGGATTATTATCTTATTCTGAAATCTCACAGAAAATTCAAAAGAAGTAGTGGGTGCTCCTTATAAAATACTGGGACAATGCATTTCCTTTTACCGTTAATGTTATTAGGTATAGGATCTGGGAAACAGATAATCATCCTTCACAATTTGTTTGTGACAGATGCACGAAGATGAACAGAGTTGACAACTAGTTAGGAGATCAAAAAGCGTCCTCAAAACTTGCGGGGTCAAAAGTTATATCATGCATGGCATACAAGAAAAGGACATGTGGACATACACAAGGTTCCTCAACCGCTTAAATAGTTTAAGAGTTATCTCCTCTCTTGTTGCTTGACTGACTGCATTGCACTCATCGACAGCTTGAGTACAGAAGGCATTGAGCTACATGATATACCCAAGAAGTCAGATAGCATGCTTAAACATATCAAGTTGTCAGAAATAAATTACCAACATCACACTGGCGAGATTATCAGCACTACCTACCAGTTCCCGCAGCCAATTGGCAGCATAGTACAATGATAGAATCATGATTTGCTTTTGCTTTCCACTTAAAGAGCCCCAAAGTGGTTCACGGAAGAACTGACACAAATATAATAGACACAATTAGCACATGAAAGGCATGCAGCAGGCATAACATTATCATGGTATAAGTAAAACTCTCCCACCAGATGGGAAGAAAGAGTTTGGCCCATCAAGTGCTTCATCGACTGCCAAGTGACTAAATATTGTTTTCCGAATAATTCTAGCTTAAGGATCACCACACTTCAAACTTGAACAAAATGGCAAAGCCAAATGTACCAACTAATTTCACAGTGAGTGTGATTGAAATTGTTTATAAGAGTAACTGGGAAGGCACTGAATCCCACCTTAGAGGAAGGAAGGTGTATAGGACAGCCAAGAAGTGCATCAATTCCTGCAAGAGATCCTTGATTCGCCAACCCCTCAATCTAACAAAGAGTTGAGATCAAACATGGAACATTCAAGGATTTAGAGGATGAAATTCTTTTTAAAAAATTTTAATGTACTTACTGAAGATAGCAAAACAAAGTTTGCAGGAAGAATTTGCAGTGATGAAGCAGCCCTGCATAAGTTGTATAATATGAGACCATCTATGCAGAATAACAACACTGACAGGCAGAAAATTACCAGAACCTAAATATATATCAATAAGTCTAAGGTTACTTTGGTGATTTTGACTCAGAAATTCAATTTTAAGCAGCAAAGGAATACTAGGAGAATTTTTTATCATAGACGCTGCAAGATTGCAGTGTGGTGCAAATGTCAAATTTTCCCTCAAGCCCATACAACATCTTCAAGGTGCAATAAAACATCTCCTAGCTGCAATGTTTTGGCACAATTCATTCCATGAGTTAAAAGAGGGCAGTGGGACTAACTGATAGATGTATATAGCTTAATTAAAGCCGCTCCACAATTTCTGCAAAGGTCAGAGTTTCCTCTAACTTCAGAAAATGTCCTTGAAGTGCAGCAAAATATCTCCTAGAACCTTTTTATCATATTTCATAAAAAGTGAAGGATGAGCATAACAGTTTTCCTAAGGGAGTCAGGATAATATCTGCGTAAAGATGAGCCTAAGAGCAGGAAATAATTTTGCAACAAAGAATTCCTTTTAGATTGACAATTTTATTTCCTAAACCTGATAATCAGAAGTTCAAGCTCCCATGATAAGTTAGTGATTCTCTGGCTTCATAGTATCAAGCCAGTTAGTAAAAGTGAGGTAATAAAAGTAGGTGTGTTCCTCTCATTTAATTTTTGTTTGTTTCCATACTTGAAATTCAGCATATAAGGGTGTATAAACTTTTCAAGCAGTAAGACGAAGAAGAATTACAAAATTACCGCAAAGAAGAGGATACAAGTGGCAAGATATTGAGACATATAGGAGATATGTCTCCGTCGAGGTTCATCCATAAGTCTCCTGCACTTACAAACAAAAGTCAAAAATTTAATTGATGATTATTTAATGGAAATTTGCTAGTGAAGTTTCTGGAATGCACATGTGGAGCTTACCTTCCAAACCACAATATAAGTCTTTGACCATAAGCTCCCCACCATCGAGGTCACACAAAAACTTTGATTCGAAGTCCCCAACATGTTTGCTTGTCCTGTGAGTAATGCACGTTTTATGTACTATGATATAAATCTTTGGGGATAATCATGTGCTTACCATTCCACTATGGCTGGATGAAGTGCTTTTTTCTTCAATGCTAAAGCCAGTTCATCATAAAACATAATTAATGGAAGTGGTAGCTGCTTGCAAGAGTTCATAGATGTTTCCAAGAGCTCCAAAGCTTCCTCATAATTTGACTTCTAAAAAATCTCAAAATCAATAAATACCAAATCTCATAAGTTGGAAGCATCATAACAAAGCAACTATGGCATGAAATTTTTTAAAATAGAAGCTCAAATATCTAAAATATCATGAGAAATAAAATAGGGAAACGCAACATGAAAAACTAACTCAATGGAAGACATCCCGGAAATATTACAAGATAATTCTTCTTCTTTTTTTGAGAAGGTTACATTTGTGCATATTGACAAGTTAGTACATATAATTCTTGAAACCTGTCTGGAGAAACACACAGCTTGATATCAAGTAGTTTGAGGGAAATATTAAATATAGCAAATGGCTAAGTAATTTTTTGTTTTAAAATACGATCAGCATAGTTACTCTCATTAATCATCAAAAATTGTGAAGGCCAAAAAGGAATATTACCAAGCACTTTAATGATGATATATACATGTACTTGTCATGTTCTAAAATAACAACCAGTGTTGAAATTAGATGATAAAAATGTCTACCAGTAAAGGAATAGAAGATGTTTTGAAGGACAGGTCAACAATATAATGAAGATCAGATCTGACTGTATTATTTTCCTCTGGTTGGTGTAATATGAGTTTTGTCAATGATGTGGAAACTTTGTTACAGTGTGTAGAAAGCTTACATAGATAGGTTAATGTTTTCCTCGTTTGGTTAATTGGTTTTTTTGGAGAATGTACTCAGGCATTTGTGCTATATCAATATTACTTACCATTTCAAAAAAAAAAATGTTTACCAGTAATCATACAGGGAAATTATTTACTGTGATACCAACATAGAAGAGATCTACCAATAAAAATACTTTCGCTGTAAGCAATATTGAAACACATTCATAACCTAGAGCACTAATAAACAAATTTAAGATAGTCAGCAAAGCACAATAATCTCGCAATACAGTGTATCTGAGTAGAACCAAATGTAGCCAGTACCTTTTCATATCTTCCACTTTTTCCTACAAGTCTTAGCTACTACTAGACCTCCATTACTGAATTCACATAAACCGTATTGCTACTATTGGCACTAAAAGTTGTACTCAGTTCCATTTTATAATGCCAGTTGACTAGATAAGTTTGAAATATTAATTAACTTGTCCATTATATTAGTTTTATTGTAAGAAAATATTATAGTAATAGCTGGAAGTTAATTTGACATAGAGAACATAATATCGAAATTCAATTTTTTGAATAATTAAATGAATTTGAACTCTAAAAAGCTGTTTAATAACAAATGGTATATGTAGCCTCACTATAGATAAGGAGTTTTGGTCATTCTACGAATATAATGCTGAAGTATGTCTTCTGGTTTCTAGTAGTAGTCCTTCCTTTTGAGAAGACTACACAATATAAGTATTAAATGAATGATTAGCTAGTGTGTATACTGATATACAGGGCTACTAATAGAAATCAGAAAGACAAATTTCAGCATTAAAGGATTGGAACAGGGTCAAATAATACATGATTCAAAAATACTGCAACATCATGTTGTTTAATTTGAACAATTAGAATAAGATAAAGTTGCCTCAAGTATCAGCAGGCTACCTGAGATGATGGAAGATGCTTCGTAGTTTTTGCATCCCCAAGGTAGGATACTATCTTAAGAGTTCCAATTAAGCCCATCTTCTTATAAGTAAGATCAGGATGACTCAACTGCCAGAAGATTTAAATAGGATAAGTTGTCATTGTAACTCGAGAGAAGGATACTGTCACAAATCCTAGAGAATGTCATATTATCCATTTACAGATTTACCTGCTTTCTCACAATCACTAGTAGTTCATTTGAAATAGGAGATCCAACGGGCCCAGTACTCACTTCAGCAGAAAATGCCAGAAGGCTGAAGACTTCATACACCTGAAACATAAAAAATGCTTCTCAAAGACAAGCCAGGAAATGGCTCAAGTCATGATACCAAGAGAGGCACAGTGATGGCTTCACCAACCTTATGCAGGTTTTCACTACTAAATGTCTCCAAGTAATCTAGGATGCCTGAAAAGAAGTATTAAGATAAGCATATAACTAAAATTTATGGCAAAATTTTCTAGTCAGCATTAATATTGCTCCAACAAGCACACCAGTTATATGAGAAGAAAGTGGAATCAACTCCTGTGAGTACTTCGAGGCTAGGAGGACCATCACATCCATAGCAGAACTCACTTCATGACTTATCCCAGAACCCACATGAGTAATTAATGCTCCAAGGACCTTCAAATAAGAAACAGCTAATTACACTTGGAGCATGCAATACAACCTTTTGCATTTACTTCAAAAATCAGGAGAAATTATTTATTAAATGCTTCAAGAAGACAATCTTACTTCCTGCCTTGAATAACTATCCACAAGCTCTTTGAACAGATTTGTGTACATGCGAACGCCGAATTCCCGTACTTTATCTTCTTTGCAAGCCAGTAAGTACTCAGAAATGGAAAGGAGGGTAGGAAGATAATCCTAGTATAGAGCATAATAAGTCAACACAAAGAACTGCACAAATATAGCTTGCACAGGAAAGGAATATAAGGTTTTGCACTGCGATGAATACCAAAGTGTAGGCCATACCCGAGTCAAATCCGTATTCCCAGAAACACATTGATCAAACATAGTTTCCACAATACAGCCCTCAAGAATTTTCTTCTTCAGTAACTTCTCAACAATCTTTTGTAAAGGCTCGTTGTTCATGTATATAAGCGTAAGCAACCATATGTCTATGACCTTATGATCCTGAACTTTCTCTAGGCTTTTCAGTTCATTCAATGTCTCTTGGCAAATTACCTACCAACAATTCACCATGTATAAAGAGCAGAACAGATGTAAATATTTATGCCTATTGACAAATGACTCAATGAAATTATCAAGTATAAAGAAATAGAAATTGTAAATCCCACTTTATTAAATCGAAGACTTGTTCGCAAGGCATCAAGTATTGAAGCTTCTGTATTGTTGACGACTGACTTTCCCTTCATCTTACTCTGTTGTGAGGTCCAAACGTTTGATGCTCCAACAAGTTTCAGTTGATGTCGGATGTGTGAAATAATCCTACGAGTATTGGTTGGTGTAGCCAAAAGCAGTAAGAATCTCAATAGGTAGGGCATATGCTCCGCATCAATAGTTCGGATACAAGATAACGCCACTGTAATGACCTTTTACAAGTTTCACAAAAAGGGAATTGCTATTCAGGTGAAAGTCAATATTTAGTAGATTGACCACTGAATCTAATACATGTTCAACAAACCAACCTGTTCTTGCAACATATCATCCAAATGAAGGTTAGAGAAACAATCAAGCATGGGAACAATTATGGAAGAATCCTCTTGAAGCATCTCCTGAAGCGAATCTACAACAGTTTTGTTGTTTTTCTCCCCAATAATCTCGGGCAAGGACCCAATTATCTCCTTCTTCAAATGAACCGGGCAAATAGATAACACTTGAAACAGTTTTTCTGTAAATGCTTCTGAATCTACAAGGAAGTCAAGCCACCGGAATTGGTTAAGGATCAACCTTGCTATGTCCTCTTCAAGACATAAAGAAGATGATCTCCCTCCAATATTTCCGGCAGGGTCCACATCAAAATACTCAGGAAGCTTTTCGAGCAGCAAGTTTTGAATGTCTGACTGGACTGCAGGAATCAGTAGCAGTACTCTTGCCAGGCTGTCACTTCGTACTGATCCAAGTCCATCTCGTTTTGAAGGTGATAAAATGCTGTTGTAACCGAATAGTTGCAACAGTTAGACATGCTGATGAGAAGCTTTCTCAAGCATTTATTTCTTATTTTGGAAAACGAATAATAAATTTATTGTTCCACAAGTATTATGCATCTCGTGTTTCCAAGAAGCCACAAAAAGCCTTTTTTTACAATTCAAGATCCATTTATTGGAAAGCATAAAAATGATACCTACAAGGGCTTCCCATGAATGAATCTAAAATCCCATCTGTTATAAGTGACCAAGTAAGAAATGATATTCTACATTTATCATTTCCATTATTTCCTATACTAAGATTCGCAGTCCCTTGCCAAAAACCATGTATCACCCTTGAGACATCTGGTAGGGGTTAAAAGCTAGAGTAGTAACATGTTTTTGGGTTGTGATAAAAGAGTTCACTTGTCATTTAGATTCCTGGTATTCTAAACACAAAAGTGCATAAAAACAAGAGTTACATGCTAATATTTTTAGCAAAGTAATACTATGTTCCACAGGAAACGTACACAAAATAAAATAAAACAACATAAAGCTATTTCATTGCTCAAAACATTGTGTGTCTTCATTGCTTTTCAGCTCTCATATATCGGTGACGTTGAAAAGTAAAATGTTCACCACACAACCCCCTCTCTCACCACACAGTATAAGATAATGCTCCCTTTGACCAAACTTAAGTCCCAGTTTATTCCAAAATTAACTCTAATCTTTTCAAATTTGTTTACACACTTAAACTTTATGCAGTGATGTAATGTTCCCACTGACGCTCTAAGATGCTTTTCATTTACTTACTAACGCAATTTACAAGTAAAATGGGAGGCAGGGAGGGAATAATGAACAGAGCAGTCCTTCATGCTTACCGCCGAAGGTTACTGGGAGAGTTGACGTAAGACGAGAGACCCAGGAGGAACTCAGACTTTAGAGAAGAATCGGATGAGAAGAGACTGTTTAATTGGTTCCGAAGCTTATGTAGATCAGACGGTAGACAGGGCGGGCCCGAGGGGTTGATCAGTGTACAGCCGGCATCCGCTAGAACTGAAATCATTTTCTCAATCGAATTTACAGTTTGTGACTGTCTTAACTTTGGCGCTTCCGATTCCGAAGCTGTTTGCGGAACATTTTCCTCGTTTGCGACAGCGGATTTGGGAATTTTGTTGGGCGGAGCAAACGGAGTAACGAATCCAGTTTTCAATTTCGCCGGACGTTTACGAGGACCGATTTGCTTGTTCTGGGGAAGAACCATCTTTCTTCTGCTAGGGTATCTGAGCTGAAGATTGTGTTTGAAGCTTCTGATAATGGAGGTAAAAAGGCGCCAAATTTTTGAGAAATTTTGAAATTAGTAAAGGAGGGTAATTTATATGTTTAGCCCAAAATTGTTCTTAAAATTGCAAACTTTGCCTCCCATGGTTCATATTTTGCATTTAGACCCTTTATCAAATTGTGATTCTATCCATCAAGCCCCCAAACTACTTAAAGAATCTTCACTGCCCCCTAAACATTTTTAAATTGAACATAACACCATGAGAGTGTGGATGTGTCTTTGGGCTCTTCTACTTTTTGACCCATAACCTTTCTGTTTCTCTTATTTGTATCTTTCCTATCTTGTTATTTCAACAATAATATACCTTTAGTATAATCTCACATGGCAAAATCAAAATGGGTGATGTACGCATATTTTTTTTCAATCATTATAAGGTAGAGAAGCTAAAGAACCGTTGATTTAGTTATTTTGCAAAAAGTTCAATAAATTAGAGCACATATCACTAAAACAAAAAAAATAGAATATTATACAAGTCCTCAAATTATATCTCGTGATGAAAATAAAAGGATATGAAGTCTATCTCTTTAAAAATATGCAAGGGCGCAAAATTAAAAAAAAAACTTGTAAAATAACATATCAATTGACTCTAAATATACTATAGCACTTATAAAAAGTGTATATTTAGTATATCTCAACGATAACAAAAGTAAGTAACTTGTAAGGAAGTTTCTGCAAGTTTTCTTTTTATTATTACTCAACATTAAGGGTGTGTTCGGTAAAAAAAAAAAAAATCTAGAAAAATAAGTGGACTTTTTTATATTCTTGTCTTCACTTTTTTTAATCTTGATGCTCTTCTTCGTGTTTGATATATAAATTAAAAAATATTATATTTAAAATATTTATATATAATTTAAACAAATACTATGGAATATAATGTTGGATATAAAGTGTGGAGTGTGGGTGAAGATAAAGTGTGTTGAGCGTGAGGAGGTCGATGTGATAAAAGCATGTGTTGAGCCCTTTCTACCACATCTCCCCTCTCCAATCCTCGATTTGATGATTTATATTTATTATTAATTTAGGTATAAGTAACAAGTTCCGTTGTAATCTAGTTGGTTAGGATACTTGGCTCTCACCCGAGAGACCCTGGTTCTCAAGTACCGGCAACGGAAATATATTTTTTTCTATTTTTGCTAATGTCAAACAAATTTCTCTAAATAAAATAGGATTGGTACCTAATTATATTTCTTACACATGTTTTTTTCTATTTTTTGTTAATCTCAAACAAATTGCTCTAAATAAAATAGGATTAGTACCTAATTATCTTTCTACACGTATTTTTTTCTATTTTTTGCTAATCTCAAACAAATTGCTCTAAATAAAAAGGATTAGTACCTAATTATGTTTCTACACATCACATGTAATACTTACTCTAAAACAAATTGCTCTTAATAAAATAGGATTAATACGTTATTATCTTTCTACACATCACATGTAATACGAACTTAAAATGTTATATGAAAATTCCAATATTTTTAGTTATTTTTAATACTATAATATCTTATAAATAGTTGGAAAAATCTTTTTTTTTTCAAGTAGTTAGTATCATTAATTAATAGTTGCATCTAAAAAATTTAAGTGTTCAACCAAAAAGTAAATTTGTTGATCCACGCGAATTACGCATTAATAAGAGATTATTAAGTGGTAATTTTTCTTCTTATAAGTCCACGAGTCTAATCAACTCTTTAGGGTAAAAGCTCTCCGAATTCATAATCTTTGTTCAACCTTTTTCTTCTTCTTTTTTTTTTGGAAAAAATTCATTTAAAATGTTTTTATTTATTGTTTATTCTAAAAGCTTTGTTACTATTCCATTAAAATCTTTGTTTTACACGACCAAAAAAAAAGTTGTTTTAAAATATCCCAATGGCATTTTTCCAGAAGAAAAGTAGAGAACTTTTTTGTGAAAGTTTGGTTATTACTATTAATTATTGGATTAATTAGGAAAAGGAATAACAAATGAGATAATAAACAGGCAATGTAAGTGAGGCCAATTTTTCTTTTCCATAATTACATCCTTGATATGTGTGCAATTATAATATACATTATAAGCACAAACAATAATGTAAAACAATAACAAGGATAGATATAGATCGGAAAATATATTTTAAAATAACACAATTGTTATGTCAAATCGTGCTAATTACCCGTGAACTATCATAACTATTCTTGTATTTTTTTATCATGTCTACAACCACAAGAAAGAAAAATGTTTGTGAGTTCGATCATATGAAACATAATCATGGGATCCATTCTAGTTCAGCGAGACAATTATTAAAAAAAAAATATCAAAGTTTAGAAGGATAATTTAATATTATCCTATTACCTTTAAAAATGGAAATGTATTGCTTAAAAAAGTTTTTTACTTTTTTTATAATTATTTCCCAACTTATAGTCTTGTCTTGTTTTGAAAAATTATAAGGTTGGTACTAGGAATATTTTGATTTTATTCCACAAATCCAACTACCAAGAATTTGTGGTACTCAATTATATATATGTTGTAACTAACATCCGCAATAATGGCTCAAAGGGGATTTTCATGAATAATTCATGATGGATGGCCAATTTTAACTTCCTTTGTACTGCCGCTCTTCAATTATGAAGACATGCTTCCAAGTCTTCTCTTATGGTCACAAATAATAAATCACATATTAATAGGATTTGCATACCTAGAGAGGTCATGAATGACAAGAGAGCCAATATACTAACTACCATCATACATTGTGGGTCAGGGTGGAGCCACATAGGATCGAGGGGTTCATTCGGATTTTTTTCAGCAAAAAAAATTATATTATTTTTCTTATGCATAAATTGTAGATGTTAACTTCCCTTTGACTTCATCATTTGTTTATTTCTTCATATTTTGAACCTCTTAGCAAAAATACTCACTCCACCATTAGTTTTGGATGTGCTTGGTACGAATGAAACTACAAAATGCTTGTTTGATAGTAAGTGATTTTTATAGTGTTTAATAAGTTAACAAAAGTGTTAATTTAAATTTTTTTACATATAATTTAGATGAGAAAAATACAATAAAGCCAGTATTAACATATAGAGTATTATTTTATTTTTAAAAAAAGGGGTGATGGGAGGGCGAATAATGAGTACCATGTGTGAAATTTGTTTTAAGATTTTTGTTTTTCAAGGAAATATTTTAACCAACCAACCATTAGAATTTTAAAAACTTCTTTTGGTAAATATTTTTGTTATACGAAAAACACACCTGGCTACGACATATATGTTTGGATTTACGGTAGAACTTCTCCAAATTTTATTGTCAGAATCGTGAAATATTATTATTTAATTGATAAATTAATATTTATTAATTTAAAGAGTGCTTTTGAGTTTCAATGAAATTTTTTTTTGATTATATCAAAAATTCAAAATCATTATATCTTACGTCGAAAATAATTTATCTTAAATTTTAAAAATATTAGTTAGTGTACAAACAAACAAATAAATAAATAAATAAGAGGATACACATTGTTCATATCCACTACACCATAAAAAATAGTAGTCAAAACAGTAATGAAGAGAAGTATTTTCCCATAAAAATATACCCTTTCCCCGGAGCAGCAACTGAAAGAGAAAATACCGGTTTATTCATCTGCATCGGAAAAGAGCTAAGCCCGGAAGTCACGGAGCTCTCTTCTCTTTTAATGACAGCAGCTAGTTTAAGTTCAATGTCAGTCGGATTTCTAAGCACTAGTCTTTCCTTCTCACCTGCTAACTCATAAAAGGCGAATTCATGATTTAATTATATATATGAATTTATACTTTATATTAAAAATATTAAATTTCGATTAACCCGATTCATTGAATCCACATCCATCTCTACCTAATACCTATCCAGTGAAATCCCTACCTTGAGAATGTGCCGTGCATCATGCAACAAGACAGGCCCACAAAGTAAATCAACAAAAAGGCTAAAAATATTTTGCTATATTTTCGACAAATTAAATGGGAGAAAATAAGAAGAAAATTCCAATACGATTGATAAAATAAAATAATAAGGCCAAGTCGTTTTCTTTATTACATTCCTTTTCAATCTATTCTTAATAATAAGTGCAGTAAATGATGTTGTTTTTTCTTTAATCAAATATATCAAGTTTGACTTTTAAATATAAAAAAATTCTTGATAGAAACTGTTTGTCTCCTACTTATGTCCTAAGCAACATAAATTTAAAATAATCAGATTATAATATGAATATCAGATACCTAGCGAAAGGAGGAAAAAAAACCAATAATGATGATTTAGGGATTCAAATGCCACCGACTGAGTATATTTTCATGCTTTATTTGGTTGGCGCCGTTGACATTTCAATTCAATTTAATTTATTTTCCCACCTCTAACCCCCCCCCTACTTTACGTACGTACGTGCTAGCCTTACAATCCGCACTCATATTTATTTGGTCCCATCTCTTTTCTCCTACCACATTCTTTACATGTTTCAAATTAAATTCTAACTTGTAGTATATGCTATTTTATTTAAACTTCTTTTTTATTTGCACGCAATATATTAAGATAGGAATTAAAAAATACAAGGAATATATTAATGAAAATGGTGTGTAATAATTAATGGAGCGAATAACGCATACTTACTAATTTAATTGTTCGCTCATAAATAAATATGTATATTAATATAAAGGGCGAAGTAAGATAGAATTGAATATCGTATTTACTTTTTCATATATATATTAAACTTTTTTTATAATTTTGACTTTGTCACTAATAGGTACGTTTACAAAATCGTGATAACAAGAATTTATATGTACAAATACATAACTAAAGAAAAATAAAAAAAAATTAAAGCGTAATTTCAATAATATTAAATCATGAATTCTTCAGAACAAGCAAAAGAGCTAGGCATTCGAGGATTACATTTTGCTAAGGCTTATAATTATCAAATATATTTACTGTATTTCACACATTTTAATATCTCCCACTTATAATTTATTAAATGTATTTACTGTTCGAAGAT